TGGAATCCAGCAGCTTCAGGATATGCTTAGGGTTGGAACTCCATATATGAAAACACTACTCCAACGAAGTTCTGATCTGAGCTTTATAAACCATCAAAAGTTGCTGGAGTGTGTACAGTTTTCTGGTTCGGAACAGTGTTCCAACCTTTTGAGAAGCAATCTTTGCAATTCCAGCGACATGATTGTGATAAGACATATGCCTGTCCTGAAATTATTATATCCGGTTCAAAAACATTTATCTTTTGGAGAAAACCGATGTCTGGGTTTTCGTGGGATTGAATTGAATCTGGATAGTTTTACACCAATTCGAAATCATTTCTAGATCCTCATCAAGATATGCAACCTCCTGCTGCCGGTAAAGATGTGCATCGGCAGTCGATGTCCTGAAATCCAAATGGAATGTCGGGACAAGTGTGCTATCGTCAGCAAAGCAATATATTGTCGATATACAATAAAAAGAGGGTTGGAGACAATATAGATCCCTGGGCGGGGCACCAGCGTTGATGGTAAAAGTATTCGAGAGATATCTATCAATGGCCATTCGCAAGGAAAGTTCTTTCAGGAAGCTGGGGAGCCAAGAATCTAATATATTGCTTTGCTGACGACAGCTCACTCGTCTCATCAATACATTTGGATTCCAGGACATCGGCTGCGGATGCACATCTTCACCGGCAGCAGGAGGTTCAATATCTTAATGAGGATCTAGAAGTGATTTCTAATTGGAGAACGGCGTTTATATGGAATAAACTTCTTGAGAACGTTTTTCCAAATGGATTTGATTTACAGCGATTCAAATCCAATGTGAATCACTATTTTCGCAGGATTTTCCTGGTTGTGTTTCGCCCTTAAAAAAATATACAAAAATGATCCGACAATCCATAGCATCGAAATTTGGCCAGCAAATCCTAATGCCACACACGGTTAAATGCCTTAGAAATATCAAGCACAGCAACTGTTGACTCTCCACGTTTCTCGATTGCGTTATTCCAAATATGGGTAACATACGATAGAAGGTCGCCTGTTGATCTTTGTGTCCGAAAGATTTTTCTTGCCCTTTTTGGGAATAGGCTGAACACGAGCAATTTTCCAAGACAGGTTGAAAACTCTGCAAAATACTGGTTCGAGTTCATTTGCAAATTCTCAAGTACGATGACGGGCACTTCATCAGGACCAGACGCCTTGTAGATATTGAGCTGTTTCAAAATTCGCCTGACTAGACTTTGTCGAAAAGTAATTTCTGGCATTGTGGATTCTAGTGTGGGAATAGTGGGTGGTGCCTTTCCCAGAAAATCGACTGTGGAGTGGGACGCAAATTGTTCAGCTAGTAGATTTGCTTTTTCTATGGCTGTTGTTGCAATTGAACCATCCGCTTGGGTTAGTGGTGGAATTGTGGATTTTGTAAAGTTTTGATTACCAGCTTTAGCTACCGACCAGAAGAATCTAGACCCGTTGGGATTGGCAAGCAGTTTATCCCTTTTTCTCTGATTGTGAAGTTCTTTGGTTTCATTTGTTTTAAATTTGCAGCTGTTACGGGCATCAACAAACCAAAGTGGTTCGATTTTCGTCTCTGGGATTTCTGTGCCACTGCCGGTTGGCGAGATTTTTGGAGGAAACAGATTCCTCGTAATTTTTGTTGAACTTAGGCTTGCCGTCAGAAGTTCATTTCATTGAAAAAGGAATATATAATAATAATAATAATACTCTCCGCAGTTGACCGAGTGTTCAAACAGATATATGAGCAGAGAGGGTCGAAGAGAGTAGTCGCTGGATGTAAAGAGAACCTGCTCATCGATAGATGTGTAACGCAGGACTCGATACAATATAAGCGTAACCTCTCTATGGCCTGGATCGATTACCGTAAGGCATTTGATACAATTTCGCATGAGCTCATCTTGCATTTGCTCAGATG